GCAGCTGCCTGTGAGAGTTTTAAAATGAGCTCTAGGGCAAAATTACAAGTTGCATGATCCATTACTAGATAGGTGAGCCTTAAACTATCACGCATTTACATATTTATCTTTCTTGTCAGAAAGTTATCCTCTGGATACAACTTGCCGAATCGCAGAAAGAAGCCGCTGCCGATCTCCAGGAAAGAGACGAGGACAAGGAATGCGCTGCTCTCCTGTCCCATAGTTCGCATCTTCTGGTTGAACTCATGGATCGTGTTGGCCGTCTGCTTTGGATGCAGTGCCTGATGGAGACAAAACTCCGCGTCCGAGACGAGACTCTGGGGCACTGGCGTTCATTCTTCTCGCATCAGATGGATCTCATTGAGACCTACAACTGGCTCACAGAAACAGAGTCAGCCGTCATGACAGAGTCGCATGCATCCGCAGGTGTGTCCTCGGCGAGGGCGGCGATCATAAAGCACTCCTTTGTGGAATATACCGTCTCCACGTTGCAGGCCTCCAGACTTCGAAGTCTAGGTGAGGTTTAATGCTTACGACCAACGGTTATTAACAGGTTTTGAACTCGGTTGAACCAATTGTGAAAAGTTTGCAGCCTTGCTTAGCGTCGAACCCACACAACATGCAAAGGCGTTTGCGCAGCCAACGCGCCGCCATTGAGCTACGAGGCTCATCGTGTGCCGTGAAATTATTCACACTTGTCTCGATTTTCCCCGCCCAATTTACTGCTTTTAAGGGATCCATCATTACAGAACAGCAAGCTGACTGCCCAGACATGGATTTTCTAAGCAAACATTCAGGAGGCATCAGAATGACTACTAGGCTCACTTAATTGTAAGGGGGGTTCGGCAGAGTTTCTTACTTTAATTGACCCAATTTTCAAAAAATTGGCGGCCTCGGTAGGAGTTAAACTCCCACAACAAGTCTTAAATTGTTGTTGCATTTTTTTTTCTTTTCGGAGGAACCGATACGGATGGTTTATTATATTTTATGCATAACCGAAAAAGACGGGGACATCCACAAATGCCTTTTCTGGCTTATTTGCCGCCATTGGGTGTTGATACGCATTTCCAGTGTAGCAGTGGAAATTACTCCCACATTCGAGTTTCGAACTCGCGTCTCTCCGGCCAGAGACAAACGGCCTAACCATTGAGTCTCGAGTCCGCTTTCTTGTCGGTTTTTGATCGGGAGTAAGCATCTAGTATATGTTATACGGAGCGTTCTTTCATATCTTTCTCTGTAGTCGAAGAAGCTGAATCCACTCTA